CTGGGCTGCCAGAGGGATGTCTGATTGCCAGCTTAGGCCCAATCCCCCGGGGAGCAGGCCTAAGCCAGAAAGTGGTCATCCCCCGAGGGGTCCCAGACTGCGAGAGGCGAGAGGGCACAGGCTGGGCTGAGGGACTCCCCCACTCCCCCGAGTGCACAAATTTTTGTGCACTGGGCCTCTAGTAATAATAATAATAATAATGATAATTGATTCTTACTTTACAAACTAGTATATTTATTTTCATTAATGCATTTCGCCCCCTAGGATTTTTTTTTCTCTATTTCATGATTTATTTTGTAATTTATGATTTCTAGTGTTTTGTGAAGTAGTCATTGTGTTGTTTTTCTTCTGGTGGCTCCTTTGTGCTTTCTAGGTAATAATATTTAGACTACAGCATTCATTTAATAATTACTAAAATCAATTAGTAATTATTAAAATCAATAAACTATAATTTATTAATTCATTAAGCTGTTCATTTATTCAAAATATGTAATGACATCTAATGTGTACTATCTTGCTATATGGTGCAGGTTTAAAATACAATCTGTCCTAATATAAGGGTTTTATTAAATTGTGGATGATTCAAGAATATAATGATTTTTATGATACCATGATGCATAAATTGTAAAAGAAATTGATTCCATCACCAAATCTATCCCTTAATTATAAGCCTGATACTTTGCAAATTACATTATGTTAAGAGGCTTTAGAAGTTGGCTCTCTAACCTGTCCAGAGAGTTGAGTCTTCTGGAATATGTTATACTAGAAGATATTTGAGGGGACAGAAAAAGGACAGAAGATTGAAAATCATGAAGCTAAAAATATAACAACCTCAGTAGGAAACAGCAACAAGAGAAAACAGCCCATTTTGATCTGTCAAACACCTAAGCATGCTTCCAGTTTAAGAACAATTGGCCATTCCTCTTAGAAACTTTTCCAGATATGCATCAAAATTTACTTAGTTGTCATTTACTTCTGCTCTAAGATTTTTTGATGATATAAAAAGAGATCTTTGAAGAGCACTATATGAATATGTTCATTCTAGTTTGCTTTACTATTTCCAAAAATATTGTTTTACAGTATTTAACCTGCCATCCTGAGGTATAAATACATAAAGATAACACATAGATGTAGGTAAATATCTGTTTCATCCACTATCTTAAACAGTGTAAACTATCTTCTTATGATGAGTGGAAGTGTATTCTGGGAAAAAAATGTAATTCTGTGAATGTGTATATATCAGGTGAATTCATAAAAGATGAAAGGTTTAAATCCAATACTGTTATTTAAATGTGAGATCCTCAGTCCCTTCTACTATTTAACTTTACAAACTGAATTGAACATTCTTTATTTTTTTAAATCCTATAAGACTTTATCATTTTTGTTTTACAACATTTTTTATTTGCTAAATATAATGGTTATGTATATTTACCAAAAAAGCTATGAAGATAAATAATTGAACTTAGATAATATAGAACTAATACATGAAGCATAAAATATTATTTACTGCATATTATTATTGCCAATATATTATTATATACTTGATACAAAAATATATATTATAACAATATCATAATTATATAGAACATATGCATCTAGTTTCTGCATGTCTGGTTCAGGTGTTCAGGATCTTGGTCAAAAACATCATGATTGTACAATATATGTATATGCATAGTCCTCAGCATCAAATCCCATGAAACCTGTCCAATTGAACTGGGTATTTAAAAGAAATGTCTGTTATTATTCCAAGGGGATACTTCAAAACATTAGAGACACAGGTGCTTGTGCGGCAATCAAACTAACCCCTATGGGAAGAGGAAAAAGGATAAAAGCTTTCGATTTTTACTGCTATATTATAATACCTGATATAAGTGAATTGTTTTATATACATGCATCTATATGTATGTGTGGACATGTATTTAATGGGAAGGACTTGCCAAACTGATTTTAACAAAAATGGGTGATTTCAATATTTATTGTAAAGTATTGTGTCTTTCTATGTAAGGTCTTGTTGGACACATGGTGAGAACAATTAAGTACAGAATGCTTCAGTCATTCACACATCCATCCATTTCTTCTATTTGTGGGGTTTTTTCATGTCTCTAATTGAATAACATTATTGAGTACCCTAGTACCTCCCAAGTCAGGTTAGGAACTATGAAAAAGGATCAAATAACATAATTTTGAAAACTTCATGCTAGGTATTGAATTATTCCATTTATATGAAATGTTAAGAATAGACAAACCCATAGGACAGAAAGTAAATCTGTGGTTGCCAAGGGCTGGGGGGAGGAAGTGACTTAAAATGTATGAGTTTTAAAAATAAAATTCTTTATTGTTGAAATATTACATATGCCCCCTTTTTTGCCCCATTGACCTCTTCTAGCCCACCTCTGCCCCCGGCCCCAGGACTTTGCCATACTGTTGTCTATGGGCTTTTTTAAAGGGAAATGGTTAAGATGTAATGGGATTAAATAGTGCTGATAGTTGCACAGCTTTGTGAATGTACTAAAAGCCACTGATTTGTACATTTAAAATGATTTAAATGGTCAGTTTTATGTTGTGACTTTTGTATAATTTTTTAAAATGCCATAAAGCTCTCTTACTGAGACTCAGCTATTTTTTGTGGGTGTGGCACCAAACCTACATTTTGTTTTTTTTAACTTTGTTTTATTGCTTAAAGTATTACAAAGAGTATTACATATGTCTCCTTTTTCGCCC